TATTTATTTTAACTGAAATAAATCCAATATCAACCAAAAGAAATTAAAGTAGGAATAATTTCAGATGTTAATATAGATAATTTATAAAAGACAAAATTGATTTCTTTTTAAGAGCAGAACAGTCTTTCCCAACTATCAGTTTAAAGACAATGCTGCTATTTGTCCCAGAGCTGGTCCCAACAGGGTATGATATATGGGTGAGGCTCATAAAAGTAAAGGCCAGAAAAACGTCCGAAATAAATATTTCATGAGTCCCAGGAGTAGTTACAACACATGCCCTCAGATGCTACAATGGAGAAAGCAAAGTGTATGAACCCCCATTAATAAAACTGGCACGACTATATGGTCACAAAGACTGTCAGATTTCTATGGGCCACTTCAATGGGAAAAAAGAAAAATTTATATACCATGCTACAAGACAGTCTAAGACTTCTGAATTTTTCACATTGCTGACTGAATCCCATCCTTGGAACCTGTACCTCTCCTCTATTTTTCCCTTCCCATCCATCTTTCTCCTAGGCCCCCTCCTTGTTTTGTTACTGCATTAGAATCATTCTCTGTGTTTAAAATGGCCTTATTTTATACAATGGAATATTATTCAGCAACAAAAAGGAATGAATTTCTGACACATACTACACCACAGATGAACCTTGAAAACATTATGCTAAGTGAAAAGTCCTACACAAAAGGCCACATTATTTTCTGATTCCATTTTTATATGAAATGTCCAGAAAGGGCAAATCCACAAAGACAGAAAGCAGAATGGTGGTTGCCTAGGGCTGGGGTGTTGGGGGATGGGAGAGAATCAGTGACTGTAATGGGTATGAAGTTTCTTTTTGAGGGAACAAAACTGTCCTAAAATTAGACTGTAGTGATGTTGTGCAATTCTGTAAATATACTAAAAAAAAAAAAAAACACACTGAATTGAGTGTTTAAATGAGTGAATTGTATGGTATGTGAATTATATATCAACAAAGCTGTTTTTTAAAAAATGGCCTTGGGCTTCGCTGGTGGCGCAGTGGTTGAGAGTCCGCCTGCAGATGCAGGGGACACGGGTTCGTGCCCTGGTCCGGGAAGATCCCACATGCCGCGGAGCGGCTGGGCCCGTGAGCCATGGCCGCTGAGCCTGCGCGTCCAGAGCCTGTGCTCCGCAACAGGAGAGGCCACAGCAGTGAGAGGCCCACATACCGCAAAAAAATAAAAATAATAAAAATTTAAAAATGGTCGTAGTCAGTTGAAAAAGGAACATGTAAATAATCCCATCCTACCCTCTCCCTAAGGGTGGAGTAAAAGTGATGACTCAATTGTGATGATATATATATATATAAAGTGACCAGGCTACTTTTGTTTAACAAATACACATGAAAAATTACAAATCTAAATGAGTCTTGCTTAATGATTTCCTAAGTCAAAACTTGGTCCTCAGATTCTCAATAATTCGATGCCTTTGTTTAGGTATTCTTTCCACTTGTAATGCCTTTATTACCATGTCTTTAAAAGTTCCAATCCCGGGCTTCCCTGGTGGCGCAGTGGTTGAGAGTCCGCCTGCCGATGCAGGGGACACGGGTTCGTGCCCCGGTCCGGGAGGATCCCACATGCCGCGGAGCAGCTGGGCCCGTGAGCCATGGCCGCTGAGCCTGCGCGTCCGGAGCCTGTGCTCCGCAACAGGAGAGGCCAGAACAGTGAGAGGCCCGCGTACCCAAAAAAAAAAAAAAAAAAAAGTTCCAATCCCACCTTCTTTAAGGCCAACTCAGAGGTTATCTCCTCCATGAAGCCTTCCCCATGCTCTCAAGAAGAGCAACCTTACCTTCCTCTGAACTTCCATGATACTTCACTTCCTCCGGGCCACTTAGGACCTTCAATCCAGTATTACACGTATTCTGCCCAATATCATACTTATTGCTTTGATGTTAGAAGGAATGTGTCCCAATAAATACCTACCTCATAAGTGGATGACTACAGCTTAACAATTCAGAATTTCATCATCACCTGGTAAATTTTAATTTTGGAAATATCCAAAAGTCACTTTAGACTCAAGAATGGTATATAAAGTAGTAGGGTTAAAAAATGCCGACTTCAGACAAAATTTTCTTGACCAAAATAAAACAAATTAATTTGACATATATATGTAAATAATCTGTAAGAAATTCCCAAAGAGAAGCACTGGAATAAGGATATAGCCTCCCAAGGTAACTGAAAGAAACCTGAATTGTATAAATTCCAGAATATTTGTTCAAAAATCAGATTCGTTAATTTATAATAGCACCGTGTGTTTTTTTCCTGAGAGTTCTATTATCAAGCTCTACTAATTCTTCTTCTACTGTATTTGTAATATGGTTCTAATTCCTGCTCCATTTTCCCTGCCACACCCAAAGTCCAGGCCCTCATTTTCCTCATTACCAACCAATTTTAAAAGTCTCCTAATTTATCTTCCTTCCCATAGTTCCTTCTTTCCTTCAACAATATCAAGCCATCCCATGGGCCACTGTTGAGGGTAGGAACTGAGAAGCACATACGAGGCCTGTTCTCCAGACACAATCTAGTTGGGAACTTGATACATGTACACGATTCATTACAATATTCAGCAGCATATACACAGGGCCACAACTGACACCCAGGATTCCAAGCAATGGGTAGGTCCTCGGGCCTCCCCAGAACACAATCTATACAGTCTCCCTCACACACTGTCCTCATCCTATCCCTTCCATTCTCTTTGTTCATCTTATTGGCCTTCTGTTAAAGTGCCCATATGGCATGCACCAATTTCATCTCCAGTTTCTCTCCAACTTGCCTCCTGAGCTAAGCAAGACAATCTACTTGCTGTAATCTGGAAGTCACTTATTCACAAGTACCTTTGTTCATGATTAACTACTTATCAACACAACCCTCCCCACTTTCTCTCTGCTAACTCCTATGTACCACCAATCTCAAGTCCCTTCTTTTGTAATGTATTGGGAAGTTTGCAATTATATGTAATTTTGTTTTCAGTTTATCAATGGCCTCATTTTTTTGGTATTTGTCTCACAGTATCTATTAGTGTTTCCTAACTAAGGGACTATATGAAAGTCACCTATGGAGCTTCTCAAAAACACAAAGGCCTTGACCTGACCCCCTAAAGAGCTCCTCAGTAAGTCTGGGGTGGGAGCTGGACATCTTTATTTCTAAAAAGCCCCACTGGTGATTCTGATACATATCTCAACCTAAGAACCACTGATTTATTAAAATGCTCCCTATATAGCAGACATTCAGTTCTTATTAATTCATGCATTGAAGCTCATAAATAACTTTTTTCTAAATAGCCTAACCAGATATCAGCCCCTAGACTATACACTAGCTCTGCTCCAAGTGCAACATGTGGTTTTAAGATTTCATTTCCTGAAGTACTCCTTGGAGGGACACTATTACCTTGTCTCTTTACATTGTTTCCTATTTGTTGAGTAATGGAGGCCTGGAATGCAGCCATGTTAGACAACACTACATAAGAATGTACTCTGGAGTCTTAGATTAAAATTAGTTATAAAAAGAACAAGAACAGTGTAGAAGTAGACATTTTGAATGAATTCAGTATTCTTCCTGAATACAGTCTAACTAAATCTACACAGAAGGCAGATGGGGAATTTGGTCAGTAGCATTCTCCTAGTACCAGTCTCCTGAACTGTCTCCTGAACTGGTCCCCTGAAGACTGAGGAAGACTTGGAGCAGCTGAAGTGTGCTAAAGTGCTCTAAACAGATACGGAACCCAAGCCCCACCCAGACCCACAGTTGCCTACCAGCCTTCTAACTACCCTGGCACACACTAGTTACACAGCTCAGTGGGGAAGCCGTATAAAATTTTTCCAAATTTGTTCCCCACAGGCAGCAGCAGTCTGAGTCACCCACCCAGGGTGGGAAAGAAAAGTGTGATATTAGCCAGCAGAGTGTTAGGAGACTGGTCACAGCACCTCTTTTCCCCTTTCAGAAGTGGACTCCGCCTCCTCCAGGAATCACCTCAGTTATTAGTCACAGCTGTGGGCTACAGGGGTCTGCAGAGCCACTTCGCCATCTAGGAAAGTTGTGGCTCGGGGAGGAGACGCCCCGCTCTTTTCTCCGGCAGGGGCCGCAGATCCCAGATTCCACAGGCCTCTCCATCTTGCTTCCTGCCAGGAGGAGGGGCCGATGAAGAGGGCCCCCGAGTCTGGAAAGGCCCCAGTGGGAGGAAGCCGTTTGACAGCAGGTAAAGCCAGGTGGAAATCTCCACGGGAGTTGGAGGGGGAGGGGGGGGATGAAAGGCAACAGGGTTAAGCGAAAGGGGAAAAGGGATTCGTAGTCATAAATTACTGCATAAAGATATCACCCGGTGTTTGTGAGTGCCAGAGGTGTGAGCAGAGGTAGAATGCCCGGGAAAGGAGGAGACAGGGACGAGTGGCCACTAAAACAAGTGGACAGAAGGGCCGGACGCGGGGAGCTCTGGGGAGGGCTCAGAGGTGGGTGAGGCGGGTTTCAAGGTAAGGGGCAGAAGTATTAGAAAGGAGAACGTGGCTCAAATAAGAATCCCTGGAAGGCAAGTCAGGGAATCATCAGAGGAGCCCGCCAGCCCAGAGGCCAGACTGAGGAGGCCTAAAAAGGAGCTGAAAGCAAGGCTGTCAACGGGAGGGGCGACAGCCTGCTGAGGGAAAGGGGCTATCAGACATCCTAACGCCTGTCATTTATTGAGCGCTTACTATGGGTCATAAGCTGCGCTAGCCACTTTATAAATACCACCTCGCTGAATCTTCACAACAGACCCGCAAGGCAGGCATTATTATGATTGCCCCCATTTTATAGGTGAGGAAACTGAAACCCAGAGAGGCTCGGGGGCTTGCTCAAGGTCACAACGCGGGGGCGTCAGGATTCAAACCCGAGGCGGTCTGGCTCCCGAGCCCACCGGCAAAGCCACAGGCAGCGCAGGGGAGCCGCAAGGCAAGCCGGAACCCCAGGGACGTCTCCCGCCCCCGTTCCCATCCCAGGCCCAGCGCGCTCACCCGAACGAGGTTACTGACGGCCGCCTGCACGGCGGCCACAGGCGCGGTGAGGTCAGGGATGGCTTTGCCGTCCACCTCGCCTTCCTCGTGCATGATCACCAGGTGCGAGATCTGCTGCGCGACCGGCTCCAGAATGCTCTCAATCGTGCGCGTATGAAACACCGGCATCGCGGCGGCGAGCGGGGCGGCGAACCGCGGGCTACAGAGATCTGAGAACGGCGGGGCCGGGAATCCGCGGACAGACGGACTCCGAGCGGCGACTACGGAGTCCGGGCTTCCCTCGGCGTAACCAGTCTCGCGAGCGCCCCGCCCCCTCTCGTCGCCGCGCCCAATGGCAACGCCGCTCAGACCCGGACCTCCACTCCTATTGGTCCCTCTTTGAGATGCTCCGCCCACGCAACCGCGCCGCCAAGGCCCCGCCCCGCCCCCATTCCCAAGGGAGGGGCCTGGGATCGGGGCTGAGCCGCGGGGTTTGAGACCGGATTCCCGAGCCCTAACGCCGGGCGCTCCTTATAAGGGCATGGTGGGAGCGGAGCGTGCGGCTGGAGTCGGGGCCCCGCCCCCCGGGGCCGCCTCCAGTGTTGGCTCTGCAGAGCTCCGCCCCTCTGCAGAATCACCTCAGCGGGGTGGGGTCTTCTTACCTCAGACGGCGCTGGAGTCTGAAGAGACCAGGGAGCTGTAAGTCTTCACCCTGCTCCCCAACTTTTCCCTTCACACGACGCCCTCAAAATACTCTTTCCATTTCCTCTCAGTAATACATTCAAACACAGAAGTGCACAGAGAAAGCATAAGCGTCCCATTCATTCACACACACGCTCCACCCACTCCCGAGCTCAGAGATACTCACAGTTTAAAGTTTGGTGTTCAGGCTTCTAGACCTTTATCTACTCATTATCTTGTACATATATATTTTCTAAGTAAATGGGATTAAGCATTTTCCTAGAACTTGATATTTTTTCCCCTTAATTAAAATCCCCTGGTTGTCTCACTCCTGGTAAATATAGGTCCAGGTCTACCTCATTCTTTTTAATGGCTGCATGGTACGCCATTGCCTGAAATCGAACAGTTTCCTAGTTATGGACATTTAGGTTGGTTTCTGAGTTTTGCTTTTTTTTTTTTTTTTTTTGCGGTACGCGGGCCTCTCACCGTTGTGGCCTCTCCCGTTGCGGAGCAGAGGCTCCAGACGCGCAGGCCCAGTGGCCATGGCTCACGGGCCTAGCCGCTCCGCGGCATGTGGGATCTTCCCGGGCCGGGGCACGAACCCGTGTCCCCTGCATCGGCAGGCGGGCTCTCAACCACTGTGCCACCAGGGAAGCCCCTATTCAACAATTCTGCATGAACATCATTGTACTTGCTTCTGTATTGTACACATGTGTATTTATCGAGGACCTAGAAATGAAGTGAAAATGCAAAACTATGTACATTTTACATTTTGATAGATTAGACCAAATTGCCTATTCCTCTCACAGCATGCTTTGTAGATGACATCTTCTAAATGTCTTCCTCACCTCAAAATCTCTTTTGCCTAAGCTTCCCCATTCCAAGAGGAAACAGTTTCGCTGATACCTCCAAGCTGAAGATGCTCAAGTCAAATGCAAATATTTCTCAAGCACCCATGTTTTGCAAGAGACTAAACTAGTGTCGGTTGCCCTGTGCAATTCTTGAAATTATTTTTGCTTAGTGGTATATATCCCCTGTTTCTACTATGTGTGTTACCAAGTCCTGTACTTTTCCTTCTCATAAATACCTCCACTTTTTTGTTACTGCTTTCATGTCCTTAGAGGCAATGGATTTCTTCCTCTGTTTTAAGCTAACGTTTATTTGGTACTTTCTAAATTCTAAGAAACTTTAAATTTGGTACTTTGTAATTTCTAAGATCACACATAGGACGAGCTACTCAATTTGTGGGACCCAGTGCAAAATAAAAATGTGGCTCAAAAAGCAGAAAAAAAGTGCTGTTAAAGATACTAAAATGTAAAGCTTACTCCTTTTTTGGGTTCTCTCTCTCAACCTGTCAGAGTATTTTTTATTTGCTATCTAATGTCACACTCCTGGGTAGGGAGATACCTTTGGGATAAATACAGATCCCCCCATAGGAAATTGGGGGCCCATGCAACCCACTGGCTGCCTGAAGCCCCCTCCTGCTAGCCGCTGGACTGGCATACTATTCCCAGCAAGGGACAGGAGGCCAAACCAGGCATCTCTCCTTACCACAGGCCTGCCTCCCCAACCCACAGCAAATGGGTGGCCTCCAAAGGTATTACAACCTCCACACTGAGACTCTCTCAATAACTGGACAAAGGAAGGCAAGAGACTCACCTCCACCAAGTCAAGCACAAAAAAATGCAGTGGCATTGATACCTTGGGTTGAGAATGACCACCTCCTTGCCTAACCCCTAGATACTATCGGTGGCACACACAGAGCCCTGCCCAAGGTAGAGTAGAGGGTAAAAGTGGTCACTGGACAAGGGCAGGGGAGGCTGGGTGAGGTCAGGGGGCCAGAGGTTGGGAGAGCAAGCAAGCTGAAAACCCATCCAAGAGAGGTGGTAGAAGGGAGGACCATGTAGAAGCTGAGGTTCCAAGCCCCCAGTGCCTGTTCCAATTGTCCCATTGGACTTCTCTTCTAAAATACAAATTCAAAGATAAAATTATTAAGAATACAGACAATGATTGCAGAGCATTTAACCCCAAATGTGAAGTTCTGAGTGCAGGGCCCTGTGTAACTACATTGATTGTACACCCATGAACCTGACCCTAGTTACATAGCTGGTAACATAGGTCTGACCATGACTGCCTTAATTACTAAACAACTCCCTAGGAACTTCCATTCCTTATGGAGTTTCTTATCAAATCTATTAAAATTTTTCTCTAGTCCTACCATAGCTACCAAAGCTTTTTTCTCTGTTCAGTATTTCACATTAGTAATAATAATATTGGGGTGATGGAACTGTATACGATTTGTTTTCTATAATCCTCACGCTGCCTCCACTTTGCTGATTGTATACTTATGTGCAATTTAACACGTTCTTCTGTCCTGTGAATTTCCTGCAAGTTGGCAGCGAGATTCAGAGGCTGGATCATGTAGTTGTCAACTGTAACATATCATCCCTGCCTACAATCTTGTAATCCAGGCTCCTCCTGACTGGCCATGTTAACCTCCCTAAGATACCATATTGCATATCCAGTCCATGTGTTCCCCTCCATCCACATCCATATCCACTTCTGTCCCCTTCCTCCCCCACAATTCACATGCACCCTCTAAAATCTTCCACAGCACCTGTTAACACATTTTAATGCATTTTAACGTCAATACCTCCACAGACTGGGCTCAGACCAACATTACTGCCTTCTGCTTTCCCATCCAGACCCACAGTCAGGTGGGTTACACAATGCAAAGAGCACAAACTCGGAAGTCATCCAGAGCTCAAGCCGTAATCCCAGCTTCACAACTTGATTGGGATAGAACTCTGGTGAGTGGCTTTTCTTCTCTCTGCCTGAATTTCTTTCTTTGTAAAAGTGAAATGATACCACCCTCATAGAGCTGATATATGGATTGGTGAATGAATTTGTGTAAACACCAAGGAGACCTCAGTAAAAGGAAGCTATTATTATTATTGGAGCAGTCACAAACAGACATATTCTAATATCCAAAAATCTGTGGTGGAGTTTCACTTTTGAGTTTTGCCTGCATTTCTTTCCCACCTAGAAAGTTCTCTCTGTTTGTCTATGTCTTATCTACTCTGGTAGGTAAAATTCTAAGATGTGCCCCTAGATTTACGGCCCCTGGTATAATCCCCAGGACTACGACTATAATAGATTTTACTCCCATGATTAGATGACGTTATATAGTACAATTGAATTTAAGATAGGGAGGTTATCGAGGCAGGCCTCGCCTAATCGCATTAGCCCCCTTAAAGCAGAGAATTTTCTCCAGCTGGTCACAGAAGAGGAAATTAAAAATTAGAAGCACAAGAAGGATTTGACAAGCTATTGCTGGATTAAACATGCAAGAGGCCACATATCAAGGAATGCAGGCAGCTTCTAGGAGCTAAGCCTAGCCCTGGCTGACAGACAGCAGGAAAACATGGACCTCATTCCCACAGCCGCAAGGAACTGAATTCTGCCAACAAGAAGAACGATCTTGGTAACAGATTTGCCCCAAAGCTACCAGATGAGAGCTCAGTCCAGTTGGCACCTTGATTACAGCCTTGTGATACTGAGCAGAGAATCCAGCCACACCACACAAGACTTTGGACATATACAATTTTGAGATAATAAATGGGCGTTGTGGGCTTCCCTGGTGGCACAGTGGTTAAGAATCCGCCTGCCAATTCAGGGGACATGGGTTCGAGCCCTGGTCTGGGAAGATCCCACATGCCACGGAGCAACTAAGCCTGTGTGCCACAACTACTGAGTCTGCGCTCTAGAGCCCACAAGCCACAACTACTGAAGCCTGCGCGACTAAAGCCTGTGCTCTGCAACAAGAGAAGCCACCGCAATGAGAAGCCTGAGCACCACAACAAAGAGTAGCCCCCACTCACCACAGCTAGAGAAAGCCCACGCGCAGCAACGAAGACCCAATGCAGCCAAAAATAAATAAATAAATTGATATAAAAAATAAAAACATAAATGGGCGTTGTGAGGTAATTTGTTACATAGCAATAGAATAACTAATGCACCTATCTTCAAAGCCCACTTCTAGTTCTTTCTCTATGACTTCCCACTGCAAAGCCCTGGCATGAGCTCTTTATACAATCCTTTTTGCTTCGTAGCACTTATCACAGTTTTCCGTTTATTAGATGACCATTTTATATTTCTCTCACATCTCTCTATGACAGAGACTGATAGATGTCCCCAATACCTGTTCTGCTCTTCCTCTATAATAACAGAACCCCAGATTTATAGCTGGGCACTTAGCCATACGGTTTCAAATTGACACTTGGCAAGTTACAAAGCTTCGGTTTTCTCATCTCTAAAATGGGGATAATAATGTTTTCAATCTTATTGAATACAAAGGATTAGCACATAATAAGCACCCAAAAAATGTTACCAGAGAGAGAGAGGTCAATTCATAACCTGCACTAGACTAAGAACCATCACGAAAGTAAGTCAAAAATAATGTGGTGAAGATCATGTGATCAAGTTCCAAGCAAGAGGAGCTCACCATGGGCCTGAGGGTAAGAAAGAGTTTATGGGATGGTGGAATTAAATCTGGCCTCAAAGGAAGAATAATGTTTGGTTAGGCAGGCAAGACAGCTGGCCGACATTCCA